CAGTAGGTTTGGGAGGGGGTGCCCAGGAGGTAAGTTTTAGTCATGATGATTTGAGTCTACTAAACATTCAAGTGGAGATATAGAGGACAGTTAGATATACGCATCTCAAGTGCAGGAAGACATCTGTGCACCAGAGATTATCAGAAGTGGTCAGGCCACAAACAGTACTGATGAGAACACATGAAATCACCAAGGGAGGGCCTCAGACAGTGAAAGGACGAGCCCCAAGGACTTTGCTCTGGGGCACACCAACATTCAGAGATAGGAAGAAACGGAGGAATCAGCAAACAATGAGAGAGAAGGGAAATTAAGCAAGTGTGGAAGCCAAGTGAATAAAGTGAATCAGAAGGAAAAAGTAACCAATGGTGTCAAATGTGGCTAAAGGGTCAAGTAAGACAGAGACTGAGACTTCACCACTGGATTTAGCAATGGAGGTCACTGTTGACCTTGACTAAAATATTAAGGGGTGGGATAGGGTTTTAAGCCTTTAGTTCCTATCAAGATGCTAAATTAGCACCATTGCTGGCTTCCTCCCTGAGGAGCAACCCAAGGAGAAAGAGAGCCAGAAAGCAAAGTGAACTCTGAGCAACCCTTGGTGTGACTGCGGTTATCTGAACTGGTGTGTGTGAGCTGTGCTTTGCCCTGGAACAAAAAGGATCTGCTCCCAGCTGGGGATGACAAATGGCAAACTGGGAAGAAACAACTACAACTTATATCATGTTCTAAAGGATAACTTCACTAATATAAAGAAATTAAATCTATAACTTAAAAACTTTCCATAAAGAAAATCTAGACCCTGGATAAACTAACTGGTGAATTTTTACAAACAATTAAGGAATAAATAACACCAATCTTTACACAAAAACACTTCTAGAGAATAGACAATGAGGAAACACTTAACATGTTTCTTTGAGGTCTGTATGAAATTGGCATAAAACCTGACAAAGACATTATAAGAAATGAAAATAGTCTCTCTCATGACAAAGACAAAACTCCTAAAAAATTTATGATGAAATATATTTAAACATGATAGAATATCAAGCCCAAGTGGGATTTTTCCTAGAAAATAGGCTGGTTTAACACCTGAAAATCAAAACATTAATAGGATTACCTCAATCAACATGTTAAATACAGGAGAGAACCATATAATCATCCTAATATTTAAATTCGACACCCATTAGATGATAAAAACTCTCAGCAAACCACAAATAGAATGAAACTTCCTGAAGAATATCTACCAAAAAACTTACAGCAAACATCATGCTAAATGACAAAATATTAAAAACTTTCCCTGAGACTGGGAAGAAAACAAAAATGTACTATTTCTATGCCATGGTACATTAGAGCTCCTAGCCACAGCAATAAAGAAAGAAAAAGAAATAAGAGCTTAAAAATGGATTAAAAAGGGGGGCTGGTCCCATGGCCAAGTGGTTAAGTTCGTGTGCTCTGCTTCGGTGGTCCAGGATTCGCCAGTTCAGATCCTGTGCACAGACCTGTACACTGCTTATCAAGCCATGCTGTGGTGGCATCCCACATAGAAGAGCTAGAATGACCTACAACTAGGATATACAACTATGTACTGGGGCTTTGGGGAGGAAAAACAGTGGATTAAAAAGGAAGAAACATCCATATAATATAATTGTATGGGTAGAAAACCCAAAATAATCTACAGATAAACTATTAGAGTTAATAAATGGTAAGGTCACTGAAAACAAGTTCAATATAGAAAAATCAACTATATTTCTATCTACTAGCAACTCTAAACAGGGAAGAAAAATTTTCAACTACGTAAGAATAAATCTAACAAAAGAAGTACAAGACATACACATGGAAATTATCGAACATTGCTGAGAAATATTAAAGGAGACATAAGTAAGTGGAGAAAAACAGCACATTCATGGATTGAAAATTCAAGTTAATATTAATATGACCAGTCTCCCAGATTGATCTATAATAGATTGATTGCAATACCAAATTCCAGCAGATTCATGGAGGAGGGGGTTGGACAAGATGATTATAAAGTTTATACGGAAATACAAAGGACTTAAGGTAGCCAAGGCAAATCTTGAAGAACAAAAGCAGAAAATTTATATCCACAGATACGAATACTTTTTATAAAGCTGCAATAATAAGGGCAGGTGTATTGGCATGAGGTTACACAAAGAGACAACTGCAGCAGAAACAAGAATCCACAAAGACAGGGGGCCAGCCCCGTGGCCGAGTGGTTAAGTTCACGTGCTCTGCTTCAGCGGCCCAGGGTTTCGCCAGTTCAAATCCTGGGTGCAGACATGGCACCACTCATCAGGACATGCTGAGGTGGCATCCCACATGCCACAACTAGAAGGACTCACAACTAAAAATACACAACTATGTACCGGGGGGCTTTGAGGAGAAAAAGGAAAAATAGAATCTTTAAAAACTAATAACAATTTTAAAAATTTAAAAATTAAAAAAAAAAGAATCCACGAAGAGACATACATATTTGGTCACCTGATTTTCGACAAAGACACCACTGCAATTTTGTTGGGAAAGAAAAGTTTTTTCAATAAATAGTACTGTGGGAAGTGGATAGCTATAGCTCATACCAAAAAATAAAAAGATATATACATATATGCATATACATAAAATTCTAAATGGATCATAGACTTAAATGTGAAGGCTAAAACAATTCGAGCTTTTAGAACAAAAACATAGGAGAATTCCTTTATGACTTTGCGTTAGGCAAAGATTTTTTTAAATAGGACAAAAAGTGCACTAACCATTAAAAAAAGATTGATAAATTGGACTTAAAATTCACACCAAGCCTCAGACTCAAAGAGGATATTTGCAGTACATATATCTGACAAAGGACTCATATCTAGAACATATAAAGAATTCCTACAAGTTAATACAGCAGAGAAAAACTATCATTTTTTTTAATGAACAAGATTGGAACATGCACTTCAAAAAAAAAGATATCAAAATAGTGAGGAAACATGAAAAGATGTTCAACATCATTGGTCATCAAAAAAGTGCAAATCAAAACCACAATAAGACAGCACTACACTTACCCACTGAACACTGAAAAAGAAGAAAGAAAATAAAGGAAATCCTCACAAACAATATCAAATGCCGACAAGGCTATGGGGCAACAGGACCTCTCACATACGGCTGGCAGGAGTGTCAAGCTGCACACCTACTCTGTCAAACTGTTTGGCAGAAATCTATCAAAGCCAAACACATACACGTGCTATGACCCACCAATTCCACTCCTGGGTTTATACCCCTCAGAATCAAGTGCACATGTATACCAAAAGACATGTATAAAAGCCAGAATTAGAAACAGCCCAAACATCCATCCAGAGCACAATGGATAAACTGTGGTATGTTCATACAATGGGAAAAAACCAAACCACTGCTACACGTGGAAGATTTCACAAACACAATGCTGAGTAAAAGAAGTCAGACACAAAAGAATATATAACCCATGCTTCTATTTAGATGAAGTTTAAAATGAGGCAAAACTAATATATGATAATAGAAGTCAAAGTCTCCCTCGAGGGAGAGTGGGCAAGTACCATTTGGGAAACAACACAAGGAAGCCTTCTACAGTACAGAAAATGTCCCTTATCTTGATCTGGGTGATAACTATCCAGATGCAGAACATATGAAAAATTCATCAAGTTGTACCCTTAGGATTTGTGCAACTTACTTCAATTGCAAAAGAAGAAAGAAATATTAGCAACTTAAAAGTAATAAGATTTGATCACTGATTGGATGTATAGGTAGCTGGTAAAAGACAGCACTTAGAATAAATGCCACGTCTGTCACCTGGTTGATGGGCTGGCTGACGGTAACATTTGATGATCACATATCAGAAATAAAGAAGAAGGGTGGAGTGCTGTTAAAACAACTTTCCTTCGGGATCTGTAGAGTTTGGAGGGCCTTCAGAAGAGCTATACAAAGATGTTCAGCAGAGAGTTGGCCATTAGGGCCTAAGATAGGGGAGAGCCAGATTCAAGCACCCCAGCGAACGGTGCATCCCCAAAGAGGAGAAGAGATCAGCCAGCAAGACCAGGAGAGTGAGGACAACAGGAGAGCAATAACGGACACCTTGGAAGAAGCAAAAATAAGAGGCAAGAAGAGGAAAAAGACTCCATCGAGAAAACAGAAAAACAATAATCACAGAGGGAGGAATAGACCAGAAACCAACTGAGAAGACTTTCTAGGAGACTGGCCATGAGCATCAACTGGACAGAATGCTCAATTTTGGCAACTACTAAAGTATCCATGACATTTGCCATAATAAGGTCACTGGTATCACTTACCAGACAGATCCAGCAAGTGATGTGGTTTGACATGTGGAAGGGAAATAGGGAAACATTTGCCAGAAAATACCCATCTGCTGCACAATCTATACGCAATATTAAAGGAGATATCTGAAGGTGATATAACCCATGCTTTCTTGCAGATATCCCAGGTTCTACACCTGGATCAAGCAGGACCATCAGAAAGAGGTCCACGGGACCACGGTGTTTCAGCCCCTTAGAAACCTGTATTGACTGAGTTCCCTTTGGCACAAAGTGTCCTGCTTCCCCTAAGGAACGATTACAAGCAGTAGGCTGCATTGGTTTCCAGTAGTCACTGAAAGATAATTTATTATGTTATCTCCAGGAAGACCAGGAAAGAAACATTGTTTAGAATTCTTAATGTCTCTTGAGTAATTTGCATGAAGATTTCTTTAAGGGCCAATGCAAATCACCTAACAGAGAATGTTTGCATTTTTGCTATGAACATCAGAAAAATCAGACAAATTTGCCTGATGATAACATAGTATAGCATAGTAATAGTATAGAACTTGCATATTTCTGCGTTACCACTTTACCTGATATTGTGTGCTCCTGTATATTTTCCCTGAAGTTGATTTTCATGTATTCTTATATATTCATTCTCACCTGACCCTTAAAAGCCTCACACAAGACATTATAAACGAAGTAGGGAAAAAACAATAAACAATTTACCTGAGATTTGTTCATCTTCTGTGGGTCTAGGAAACGTGTAGAGAAGTACAAAGGTGGAGCTGGGAGAGAAGAAAGAACGGATTACAAGAGATCTGAACTGCCTTGTACCTCATGGATTCTCCTGCCTAGAGAGTTCCACTTGCTAGCCGAATAAAATATCCTTCCATTGGAGAACATCCTTTGGTTCTTAACCACCTTGGCAGTAGTTTCTCAGTCTTCTGACAGAAACTGGTTTTGACTGAACTGTGTCTGAAAACCTACTGCCTAGGTGAGTAATGAACGAGATGACCCACACATTCACCTTCTCTGGCTCAGTGGTTTTCATCTTTCATGCTAGGCAGACATGGGTAATCCAGGGAGCTTTTTCCTGCATTACCTTCTAAGTCTGTGAAGTCAGGATGGAGAAAGCACCCACATCTCTCAAAGCTGCATGTAGTAAGGGGCAGGATGTGAGGGCCCCTGAGGATCTGGAAAAACTGAAGAATCTGAAAGAAGTCAAAGGCTGTTAGGGAGGTCTGAGAATTTTCTTAGTGGTGGGGGAATTTCTTTCCCCCAGACCATACTCTCTCAAACCCTCAAATGAAGCAACACTTCCTGGGCAGACTTGCCCCTTGCCTTAGCTCCAGCTCACCTCCCCTGAAACTTGGTTCAAACCTCAGGTTGTCACAGTTTGAAGGATGGCTTGCGGGAGCACAAGGATCTCATACCGCTAATAGCCATTGCAAATCTAGGGTCTGCTCTTTCTCCGGCCTTGCTGCTCCTCTGCTCTGCAGGCCCCGTGGGAGGTCTCCTTTCAGATGGGCCATCTTCCAGGTGGGATTCCTCTTTACCTCACAAGGTCACCTTTGTTCTGTGGGGACCTGAAATTGGCCACCCCAAGATGTGTCTCTTTGGCATCAGGATTATTTGAGGCTGATTGCTTTTGATAAACTGGGACAGGGAAGGAGGCTCTGAGGAATGGAACTTGCCCTTCCTTAGGACACATTTACATTTGTAAGGTAAATCTCTATCTGTAAAAGCTGCCTCCCTCTCTGTACCAGGAAGAAGAAAGGAGATGACCTTCTCTCTAAAAACTCTTAATCAATACCAAAGGCAAGGACTTAAAATCTGCATTTTATTGTGCTAGTCTGGTAACCTCCTGTAACTGACTTCCCTCCCCCTCCCAACCCAACGTTGGCATCTCCTTAAAGATTAAGCATCTTTCTTTAGGCTGGGAACCGATTGCGGCGCTCATCTGTGACCCCCCCCACCCCCAGCCCGAGGCAACACACCTGCCACCCCGCGGCGTTCACTGGGACAGCAGACCTATCTGTCGTTTCCATCAAGCGCTGTGCTGACAGAGCAGCCTCATGACTATTGTAAAAGGGGCATTTCAATCATATGTGAAACACCCCGTTTGGGGGTATATAACCACTCTGTGTACCCCACTTCTACGGTGCCCTTTCTTCCTTTGGGAAGAAAGGCCCCGGGCCATGGTTCCTCATAAAGCTTTGTTTAATTTTCTCTTGCTATTCTGTCTCATGTGAATTTAATTCGTTCTCCGGCCAGACGAACCCACATTTGGGGAGAGGAAATGTCCTCCTCCCCTACAGTTCCTAGGACCCAGGACCTGAACCTAGGGGACAAAATCATTTTAGTTGTAACCTACATGATGGCCCCAAACCTTGGAACTCCCTATGCCCCACAATTTCGGGCTAGACCTACAAAAAACTCAAATGAGAAGGACTGAGGACACACAGGCTAAAGAGTCCAGATCAGGCCCAGAACTAACCATCATGAAATGTGACCCAAAAGCCCTGAAAACACACCAAGAATCCCCAAAATACAAGCGCCCAGTGATAAAACGGGGTTCACATTATACTTGACGGCAATGTCCCTTGGCTCAGGGCTGGGACGGATATAACGATGGATTTAGGCAGAATCGTTTTTTATAAAGCAGGCAGATGTGGATGTGCCTCTCAGCGCCGTCTCCCATGAGCTGTGTGGTCTGGAGGCAGTCGCTGGCCCGACTGTCCGTTTCCTAATCAGAGCGAGAAGGCGCGGACTCCCTGCTGTCCTCACTGAGTGAGCGGCAGCCCCCAAACTGGAGCCGTCAACACTACAGCCACCCGCAGGCGCCAGTCGGCGCACAAGCGCCGAACCGGGACAGGACAAACCCGCCGCTGCCGCTCCACCTGACTAGGATCGGAGGCCCGGCCCCGCCTTCCCGCAGGCTCGGCCCCGCCCCGCCGCAGGCTCGGCCCCGCCCCCCGCTGTCTCGGCCCCAGCCCCACGAAGGCTCGGCCGTCTGCGCTAGGGCCGCGCCCCGACCACGCTCCAGTAGCCTCCGCCGCACCCAGACGTAGGCCGTGGGCCTAGCGGCGCATGCGCCAGAGCGCTCGTTCCCGGCGCCTGCACAGTGCGCGCCGCAGACCGGGAGGGGCGTTTCCCATCAGGCCTCGCGGCAAAAGCCACCCTCTCCCACCCCCACCCCCCACCCCGGAGCGGGCGGTGGGGCCCGAGCCGCGTAGGCGGGAACGGCGGCAGGGGAGGGGAGCTTTCCGTGCTAGGCCAGACTCTGACGCCGGCGAAAGAACGGAGAGGAAACCGGCAGTGCAGACATTAAGAAAACGAGCCCCGTAAGAGCACAGCTTCTCCCAGGAAGGTACAACAGCTTAGTGCTTGTGGCGTTGGCAGTGGTAGTAATGATGACACCAGCTTCTCAAAATTACTTGCGATACACAAAAACTGTAAATGAATAAAAGTACAGTAAACCCCCTTTCATCCTTGATTTGCTTTGTGAAGTTTCAGTTACCTGCGGTCAGCCCCGGTCTAAAACTATTAAATAGAAAATTCCAGAAATGAACAATTCCTAAGTTTTAAATTGCGTTCTGTTCTGAGTAGCATGATGAAAGGTCCTGCCTTCCGGCTCTATCCCGCCTGGAACGTGAATCATTCCTTTGTATACCCGACCTGCCCGTTAGTCACTTAGTGGCTTGTCTGGGTTATCAGGCTGTTGGGTACCCCAGGGCTTGTGTTCAGTAATCCTTATTTTACTTACTAATGGCCGCAAAGTGCAAGAGCAGTGGTGCTTGCAATTCAGATATGCCACAGAGAAGTTATTGTTGTTACTCTCTTACTGTCCCTGATTTAAAATTACTTTATGATAGGTATGTTATGTATGGGAAAAGACCTGGTATATATAGAGTTCAGTACTATCCGTGGTTTCAGGCATCCCCTGGGGGGAACTACTGTACACACAAACAGAAAGAAAAGGACTAGCATACACAGCCTCATCTCCCTTACACGACTGTGCACAACCTTCTGATATTTTTAAGAAATGGGATTTTAAGGGCATAACTATTAGAGATTAAGTTTTAATCTAATCCTTGTTTTAAGTAAACAAGGTAAACGTTTTCTTGGTCAGTGTATTTCCCAGGTCTTACTGAAAATTTCAAACAAAATTTGGAAGAACTCATTGAACAGACATACCTCATCTAGAGTCAACAGCTGGTTAATATTTTGCCATATTTGCTTTATCTAGATGTGTAATTATTTATTTGTGATGACATTTCAGTCCTAAATATGTTATCATGTATCTTCTAAGATTAAGGACATACTATAATCACAATACCATTATCACACCTATAAAAGTTAATGGTAATTTCATAAATAGCATCTAATATCAAGTCCATATTCAAATTTCCCAATTGTCCCGAGAACGTCTATTATAGAGGTTTAAGTTTTTCGAAGCTATTTTTTTTAATCAGGGTTCAACGAAACCAACATATTATAATACATAGTAGTGATGTGAAGAATATGTAAGTGAAGACATGGCAAGATTCACCCCCTAGATAATCAAGTACTAATTTTCCCTTCGGAATAAGTGTAGAGAGTGCATTCTCAAAGAGCATAAATCTACAAATGGGCTAAAGAAATTTTGTTTTACTTCTACTTCATATTTTCTGAGCATTTCAAACTGTTAACTACCAATTCAACTGCACAGTGCATCAAAATCAAATTTTATTAAACATAAAAATTCTATCCCAGAGTTATCAATTTTCAGGCATGTTTTACAGCACAAGCATTAACAGCACTCTTAAATGAATAATTGGGTTAGTTGGTTAAAAAAAAGAGATTTTGAATTTTAACCACACTGAATATTAAAATAGCAGCTGTAGGGGTTTGGAATTGGCCACCCCAACACATGTCTCTTTGGCATGATTATTTGTGGCTCATGTCTTTGCAGACAGGAAAGCAACTAAAAAGTAGAACTAAATCTCTGTCTGTAAAGGTGCCTCCCTCTCTGTACCAGGAAGAAGAAAGGCGATGACCTTCTTTCTAAAAACTCTTAATCAATACCAAAGGCAAGGACTTAAATCTGCATTTTATTGTGCTTGTCTGGTAACCTCCTGTAACTGACTTTGCTCCCCCTCCCAACATTGGCATTTCTTTAAGGATTAAGCATCTTTCCTTAGGCTAGGAACTGATTGCAGCGCTCACCTGTGACCACCCAGCTCAAGACAATAGACTTGCCTCCTGCTATGCCCTCTGAGACAGCAGACCACTACCTGCTGTGTCCATCAAGCACTGTGCTGACAGGGCAATCTTGTGACTATTGTCGGAGGGACATTTCAATCATATGTGAAACACCCCGTTTGGGGGTATATAACCACTCTGTGCACCCCACTTCTTCGGTGCCCTTTCTTCGGGAAGAAAGGCCCCTGGCCATGGTCCTCATAAAGCTTTGTTTAATTTTCTCTTGCTATTCTGTCTCATGTGAATTTAATTCATTCTCCGGCCAGACGAACCCACATTTGGGAAGAGGAAATGTCTTCCTCCCCTACACAGCACAAGTCAGCAGATCTTTCACAAAAATTTCAAAGCACACACACATTTATAGGAGACTGACACATGATAGAGTTAAATTTTGTGTCTTAGTTAAAGGGGGTGATGTATAGTAATAACGAATACTGTCCTCAATTTGCTGTTTGAGTTTTGAAATTCTGTGATTCCCAACAATTTTTTAAAATACTAAGAGGATTGCATTATGTCAAACTTTATGCATAATATACAACCTTGAAATATTTATTCACATTATTTTAAATTTGCACAATTTACATTCCTGTAAAATGTGGCAGCACTATACTCGACAGGCAATCCTTTGCATGGTTCAGACATGCATGAATTTCAGTCATCATGGTTTAGTTAAGTAACACCAGATTCAAATTTCAGTTACCACTTTATATTAACTATGAGTAATCGCATAAAGTACAAAAACTTGGCTGCTAGCTCTTCAGTCTACAATCACTACATTAATAACAGATGTGCATCATGATCAGTGACAAGCCACATCGCTTCTTTCCAAGACTATTCGTAATTGGTCACTGCAAATCTGTTATTCGATTCATGCAAAGACAGCAATAGTTGTGTGGGCTCTCTGTCTCCCAGTGATAAACTGTTGTGGTTACTAAGAATTGCACTCTTAGCACAGAATGACTCCATC